TAATTCTACTTTCATTCTTTATCGAGTCTTTTCGACCCTTTGCGCGCGAAAGCATCTGCGTAGATACTCGAAAATGTTAAAACAAACAAAAAAAACATTTCTTTGAAAAAATTAATGTCCATATGAACGACTGTTTTTATTTAAGCCCATAAAATAATAAGGTGCCAATTCCAGAAAAGAGTCACAACATAGTTTTGAAACTCTTCACTCTTCAAGGGCCACATTTTGATGTTTTATTTTAGTTCATAAGCCCAAAATAATCTACAAAATTCTAAAAATGAGCTTATTTAAAATTCCAGTTCACAACGTTCCTGTTTGTACTTTTTATTTTAGTTTTTAATACATTTTCTGAAGGGTATAATTACAAGAGGATCGAGCATTAAACGATATTTCTTATGGTGAAATGGTGGTCTGTTGCGGGGACTACGCTGGATTTGGAAATCGTTTTGTCAAGATGAGGAGCTCTAAAACTCTCTTTTTTTATTAAACATTTATATACATAGGTAATTAATTATTTGGTATGTCTTTGTCAACGGAATTTTTAAAGGGAGCCATTTGAAAAATTTTAAGTTCATTTTAATTGGCAATATGCATGTCGTTGGTTAAATTACCCTCCAGCCTACATCAATTTAGCGACCTGCCGTGAGCTGATGACATTTAAGTTCTAGCTTCCATTAGCGGGCCGTGGGCCAAGTAACTATGCCATTTAACAGTATCGATAACAGAATTAAAACTTAATGTGCGACTTTCATATAGAATCTTAATTATTGCATGGGTACTGTTTTCTAGAAGTATTTTAAAGTAGAAGAGGAATTCGGCGCTTGATCCGCAAAACCTTTCACGCTTTTGCGAACATCGCAACTTTGTGGAATTGAACTTGTAAAACTCTAGTCTCAGAATAGTGCAGGGTAACAGAACTCTCACGTGAGTGCAATTTTTCGTTTTTGACTGTTCTTGTTAAGGTTTCTTTTGTTTCCACTTTCGAAAACCAAGATTAATAATTATTACACCTTGTATAAGCGAAAAAACATCAGCTTATAATAAGTTTCTAAATAATACGGAGTTAACGTCTGAACACCAACGCCTGTATAGTCCAGGATCGGACATTTGCAACTCTCCACTATCTAATGCATCACATTTTTTAAAACATTTGTAACCCTTTTCGAGAGACTAAGACTACGGTCTGTAAAAGACGTCAACAAACGACGACAAATTTTTCTCTTTCTTTCCCATTTTGGATGTGGTTTTTGTTTTGTTTTGTTATTGTTTTAAGTCGATCTGCATTTTAATTAGCTAGAAAAACGACGCAAATTTACTCAAGGTTGTCGCTGTCGTGGTTGTTAATTTGTCTATTAGAAGCTCCTGATGGTATACATGCCGTTTTTTGGTTAGGTCCTTGTGACAGGTACCTCAGAGATTAAGGCTCACACACTCTAAGCAAGAAAGAAATAGAAACCGATCAATGAGCCAAAGGAAACACAAACAAAATAACGTGTGAAAAAAGCTTAAAACTTTCTTTTAATGCTGTAACTTTAAAAAAAAGCCTCATTTATTTTATGTCAATTTCAGAATAATGTTTTAAATGCAACAGAATCCAGGTGCTTCCGATATTTTTCGTACTTATGGCGTAATAATTTGCCTGGTATGAAGGTCTTAATGGGGTTCATCGTTAGCCGTCAAACGGCCTAACAGTTCATCGTCAACCGTCAACAATGCAGGTTAAGATTAACCGTCAAAAAGTTTCAAGGTGTTTCAAATCTAACTAGTTCTGCTGATCTTGACGGAATTCCGGCTCTTAAAGAATTTATAAACTGGGAAAACCAGTTCTCATGCTCAAAAACACTCTTTCTAGACAGTACAATACCTTACAAGCTGCTTATATCTGAAAAATATCTTGAAATTCTGTAAGTTAAAGGCCAAGACAACCTCCAAAACACATCAGTTAATATTGATTCATACAGAAGTTGATATTTACGACAATTTTTGGACCCAATTTACAGCTAATAACCGTCAGCAGCTCTAAAATTCAAAATTTCAAATGTTTTGAACTCCCACTAGCCAGAACAATTAACTTTAAACTAGGAGTAATCGGAGCTTAGGAGAGTGCGTTCGATATGTTTGTTGAGGCGGAAGGGTGGTTGCAATGTAGATAAATATGGCTATGGCATATTTTGAACGTAAGGGTTGCGTACAACGAAACCTCTATTTAAACTGTGTATCATTTTAAGAACGTTTTCAAAAGATATCGTATGGTTCGGTGTCAATTGCTTTTAATCGGAGGAGACATTGGCCAGCGTCGGACGTGTAGGGCGCAGTTTCTCAAAGGCCGACTAGTTCTTAACCCGGGATTCTTTTTCTTTCCTCAAAAACATTTCTTCGGTTAATTTTCTCTGTTATTTTTAACAGCATCCAATCATCAACTTGTTGACAAAATGAATTACATTGAATTTACTGGTTTAAAAGCTTTCACATCTGAATTCAAACTTCGCACTAACCGTATCAAAGCCTTCAATAAAACGTGTGTGCGGCTAACCTCATTAACTTTTCCAGTAATTTGGTCGAGCGTGTTGCTTTCAGTGACTCGAGAGTGGCGCTACTGTGGGCTGATTTATAAGTTTTTCCTAATAAATAACATAGAGTTACAGTGTTCGTTTGTCCGGTGCCGAAAATGTCACAAGTCATGGTCAAATGACGCCGCCGAGCTTCACGTCTCGGTAGATTTACTTTGTGGCACAACGGCTGCCGAGCTACACAACTCGTAAATTTACTTTGTGACAAAACGGCTGCCGAGCTACACAACTGGGTAAATTTACTTTGTGGCATAACGGCCGCCGAACTAAACCCGGTTTGATGCATGCACCAGTAGTCGCAGACATTTTCCAAAGACAGTGACGAACCATGCTGAAAAAATATGAAAGCTTAATCCAAAGTAAAATTTAATATCAAACTCCGGAAAGATGAACGCTTTGGACGATTCAGCAATCACAGATCGATGTACGCTTTACGAAGATTCAGCAAACTTTTTAAAAGATGAACGCTTTACGGAGAATGTCAGACCTTAGCAGCCTTAGCAAACCTTTGAAAGATGAACGCTGAGGACACAAGAAATCACCACATGAGTTAGCGCGTCAAAGTGAGGCAAAACTTAAGCAAGCGCGTCAAAGCGAGGCAAATGTGTGTCGACGACGACGAACGAAAATGCAATCTCAAAAATACCTCCTACTTTGGATTAACGCTGTGGCTATATGGCCGGTAACCGGTCAAGGTTTTCAAAACACTAAATGGCCGGCAGTCTTATATTATCAGTAAATTTCACAAAATCGAAAGATTCTAGCTAATCTAAACTATCATATGTCGATTAAGACAGATCAAGCGACCCTGAAATGCTTTATAAATCTCAAGTCTAGTGTTTGGTTTACGCTGGGCTCAGAAGACGAGACCGTGTTTTATTTGGCATCGGAATCAAATAAGAGCATGATTTGCCTCACTGCTATGTTAACTGAACACTATTTTTTGATGGCATTTTCATAGATGGTAAAACAAATGGCACATAAAAAGAATAAAAACGAATTTAGGAAAAGGTGTGGTTTAGTAACACTATGCTTTGCCCAAGCACGTTAGTTCTCTAACAAAACAGATGATTCGAGAAAGCTGTTCACAATAATTACAACAAAAGGCTTTCTGTGTGGGTAAGAGTCAATTACGCATGCTAAAAAATTAAAAGACTAGCAAACCCAGGCATTTTTGTGTGGATTCTAGAAAGATTAGAAAGAATTACACAAGTAACGATAACGAAACGAAAGTTTGATATGCGTAGTTCTTAGCAACAGTTAAAGAAACTTAATTATCATTAAAGGGAAACGTCTTGTAAAAGTTCCACGATTTAGATTGTGATGCTATCCGTATGCTTCAGCAAATATTTTTAGAAATTGTAAATGCATTAAATGTATCAATACAAGAGAGAAAAATGATGTAATTTGCAATCGACAGTCTTTTAGGAAGACAAATGACATTCTACCACAGTGATTCAAAAAAGTGTTTGTGTAACTTCAGGTCCTATTATTTGCAAACCTATTTCACCTGCTAATTTTTATTCACGCTCCTTAAAAATTGAGCCCATCCACGATAATTAATTTGGAAAGAAAAAACAAAACAAAAACATATGAGACTTAATGCATCTCCATTGATCTACTAAACGTAACCAACTGCAGCATTGAATTTGCTTTTTCTTCAATATACGATTTTTTTCTAGAACTTAACCAAAAAGTAACCATTGATTCTGCTTTTGTCAGGGGTACTTAATATCCTAAAATTTAGGAGAAACATTCTGCCGCCGAGCAAGACATTTCTTTTTATCATAACTGATATTTTATTATATCTTAGGCTTTACATGTGATTTTGCATTGTATTGTTAGGATTTTAATGCAGTTCTTAAGTTTTATTATTGTATTTTTATTAGGCTTTTTTAAGTGTAATAGTTCATGAAAACTCTTGATGTAAATTAATTTTTAACATACAGAGCCCCTATGGAGACCAGCCTTGGAGCTGAATGGGCTACTTTGTGTAAATAACGTTTTACTTACTTACTTACTAGAGTAAAAAGAATTGACATAGCGTTAAGCACTCCTTTGAAAACTTTGTTCTGTTCTATCTTCCATTTGCTTCACAATTTTTTGTTGATGTAAAAAAGTTGCTTTAATAAAAACGGAAAATATTACTGAGCGGGGGCGTCCCTGGCTGAGTCTGACCGGGAGCGAAATGACCGGTGGCCAAAGTGTTTATTTCAAAAATTTAGTTTAGAATGCCAATTTTTGATGATCAATTTACTCTGCTATATGAATCTGATACTCTACAACTAAAAATGCGTTTTACTAATGGCAACATTTTACATTGTGTTTGTTATTAAATATTAATTAATATCAAATTCTCACCATTGCAACACTGTTTAAGACGAATTCCGTTATCGGGGACACCCCTTACTCTTCGTGAACGCATCAACTACGGAAAAAGGTTCAAGATACTCACTACCGCCGCCGCGACTCCTACAAACTGGTGAGAATTCGTTTTCTTCCTTTTTTTTTTAGCCTTTTTTCTCTTGCATATTTTAGCGATCTAGAAAGAATCTGCATCGTCATAGTGTCCCAGGGGAGGACAACATCTACATCGTCATTGTTTCTGTTCTCCATTGAAACCTCATCAATAGTTTTTTTAATTGTCTCAATATACTCGCTGTCCAACAGAAAAGACGTATTGAGTTTCCAGAAACCCGGGCCTCTAGGGCTATTATTACCAGCAAGGTGGATTGTAATGAGGGGATGATCGGTCATATAACCCGGTAAAATTTCTGCATTTGTGATTGCTGTGATTAAGCTTGAACTGATCATAAAATAGTCGAGACGACAGTGCACTTCAGGTTAAGTTCTCCGCCAGGTAAAACGCTTACCGTCTGGATTTAGGGTTCGCAACACATCTATCAAGTCCAGCGAGTTTGCTATGTTCTGAACCTCTTTAAGCGAATTTCTCTGCGTTGTCGCGTTTCCTCATTTTTTATCCTTCTGAACCTCCTTGACCAGATTAGAGTCTCCTCCCATACTAATTTCTTCACATTCAAAAGAGAGCAGATGATCGAGAAGATTTGGGGAAAAAGTAGGATTGTCTTTGTTCGGTGCATAAATGTTAACCAAAGTTAAAACCTTGTTATCTATTTTCATGTCTATAATAACAAATCTTCCTTCTTGATCAGAATATTGCCTGATTATTTCTAATTCTCGGAAAGTTATTGTTAAATAATATACAGACTCCGGCGCTTATTTTAACTGAACACTATTTTTTAATGACATGCATTTTCATAGATGGTAAAAAAATGGCACATAAAAAGAATAAAAACGAATTTTACGACTTTTAGGAAAAGTGTGGTTTAGTAAAACACTCATAATGCTTTGCCCAAGCAAGTTAGTTCTCTAACAAAACAGATGATTCGAGAAAGCTGTTCACAATGATTATAACAAAAGGCTTGAGTGTGGGTTAAGAGTCAATTACGCAATATGCTGATAAATTAAAAGACGGAGAAACCCAAACAACATTTCTGCGTGGAATCTAGGAAGATTAGAAAGAGTTACACAAGTAACGATAACCAAATGAAAGTTTGATGTGCGTAGTGTTTAGCAACAGTTAGAGAAACTTATAATTATCATTAAAGGGAAACTTCTAATGTAAATGTTCACGATGTAGACTGTGATGCCTGATGCTATCCGTATGTATGCTTCAGCAAATATTTTCAGACATTCTAAATGCATTAACTATATCAATACAAGAGAGAAAATGTAATTTAGAATCTACAGTCTATTAGGAAGATAAATAACATTCTAAAGTAATTCAAAAACGTGTTTGTGTAACTTGAGGTCCTATTATTTGCAAACCTGACATCGAATCTCGTGACTTAAATACTTAATTCACCTGCTAATTTTTATTCATGCTCCTTAAAAAATTGAGACCGTCGTTGAAATATAATTTTGAAAAAAAAAACAAAACAAAACAAAACAAAAACGTGTAAGACTTAAATGCTTCTCCATTCGATCACCTACTAAAAAGTAACCATGCAACTACATCATTGAATTTGCTTTTTCTTCAATATAGGATTTTTTTTTTTTAAACCTCCACAAAAAAAATAACTATTGATTCTTTTTTTTTTTTGATCAGGGTACTAAATATTTTAAAATTTAGGATAAAGAGTAGAAAACATTGATACAGCGTTAAGCACTCCTTTGAAAATTTTGTTCTGTTCTATCTTACATTTTCGGCACAATTTTTTGTTGATGTAAAAAAGTTGCTTTATTAAAAAGGAAAATATTACTGTGCGGGGGCGCCCCTGGCTGAGTCTGACCGGAAGCGAAATGACCGGTGGTCAAAGTGTTTATTTCAAAAAATTAGTTTAGAATGCCAACTTTTGATGATCAATTTACTCTGCTATATGAATTTAATACCCTAAAACTAATGCATTTTACTAATGGCAACATTTTGCAGTGTGTTTGTTTTTAATAATTAATTAATATTAAATTTGCAACTCTCCACTAATGCATCACATTTTGGAAATTTGTATAGACTACGGTCTGTAAAAGACGTCAACAAACGATTTTTTGCTTTCTTTCCCATTTTGGATGTGGTTTTTGTTTTGTTTTTGTTATTGTTTCAAGTCGATCTGCATTTTAACTAGCCGAAAAAAACGACGCAAATTTACTTCATGTTGTCGCCGTTGTAGTTGTTTATTTGTTTATTAGAAGCTCCTGAAGGTAAATATGCCGTTGTTTTGGTTAGGAGAAAGAAAAAAGAAACCAATCAATGAGCCAAAGAAAACGAAAACAAACTGTGAATAAAGCTTAAAATTTTCTTTTTGTGTTGGAACTTTAAAAAAAAGCCTCATTTATTTATTTATTAAGTCAATTTCAGAATAATTATTTTAAATGGAACAGAAACCAGGGGCTTCCGATATTTTCGTGTAGCTTATGGCGCAATAATTTGCCTGGTATGAAGGTCTCAATGGGGTTTTACCGACAGTCGTCCAACGGCCTGACAATTCATCACCGTCAGCCGTCAAAAGATGTTATATTCAACCGTCAACCGCCAAAAATCCAGTCTACGATTAACCGTCAAAAAGTTTCTAGGTGTTTCAAATCTTACTATTTCAGCTGATCTTGACGGAATTCCGGCTCCTAGAG